GTCGCAGTCGAGGCAGGTGACGTGATTCCCACTGCACCAGCGAGCGCCCCAGTTGCCCGACGTCCCTAGCCTGATCTGTGCCTCCCCCCCCCCACCCCCCCTGGGATGGTTAGGCTACGAGTTTTGCTACATGGACTTTGACACGGGGCCCCAGCCGAACAATTTCAACGAGGAAATGAGGCTCTGTGGTTTCGAAAATTACTTTTCGGACGGGAAGGTCCCAACGTATTTGACGACCAAGGATTACTTGTGCGAGAATATCCCAACGGGAGATTACATTCGCTTCACCGAAGAATCGAACGGGTGTCTCACAGCAGTCGCTCTGAAGGAGGGCAAGGGGTCGGAAAACCCCAAAAGGTGGAGGGATATTCTAATGAACCTCGACTCCTCAGGAGATGGCGATGGCCGCTTTGCCACGGAGATACTGCTGGGATCGTCCGGTCTTACGTGCGCGGACTACGACAAATGCCCCGCATCCGGACAGTCCGGATACAAACGCAAACTCATCGCGGACGACATAATCGAGTGCACCCCTGGCACGACGCACCCCCAGGCTGGCGTCTACCCAAATGGCCAGGGCCCGTCCGGGGTGATCGGAGAGGACCCGTTGCGCTACACGCTGCCCAAGTTCTTCTGCGCGCAGTACCCCGGCGGGACGAGTGGCTTTGAGGTCACCTACAAAGTCGGGCCGAGTGATTCGGGCATGTTTGGCAGAAACTTTGTCTTCGGCGGCACGGGGGCACCAAGCTCCTGCGAGCTGGTGCGCCTCCCCGCCCTCACTCAATGCATCAGCCGACCCTGCCCCCGTCATGTCTATCATCAGGTCGAAGTCGACGAGTAGATCGGAGCCGAGCTGCGCGAACCCCTGCACGATCGCCGTGCGCACCACGCGGACGCGCGAATAGCGTGCGAGCGCCGACGGCACCTCGCGAGTGTGGCTCACCTGACGGGGCATGCGAGGGGCGCAGGCGGTCCCCCGCCCAGTCCCCTGCCCCCTCTCGCGCTTGGACTTCCTCTC